AAAATTAAATTAGGTATGAAAGTGAAGCCCAGAACATAATATACTTCTTAAAGTGACGGAATCGAATTTTTGAGTGTTTAATAATTTACAATTAACCATAACGAGCTCAAGGTGCCCTCACATGCGCACGTCATACGACTGCACTGCGCAACAACGTCTGCGCAGGTGCCCCACTAACCTAACCTAACCCAAACCAACCAAAACGGGGTAATGTCGTTCAGTGCAAAATGGTTTCTGCGCACGAATTTTGGAAAAAGCGAATGGAGCTCAGAAATTATTAAAATTTTGTATAGACATCATGCCACAGGTAAGTTAATGATATTCATACTCTATTATGTCTAATCGCTTTTTAGAAAATCGCACGAAGACATCAAAGTCGTGAGGTGGAGGATGCGCAAAGTCGGCCACGACCACTTATCAATAACGATATTACGCGCTCACACAATCCCCATATAACACAAATAGTGCTTGTATGCGTGTAATACAACATAACACGTCTAAAATTACATTCGTGGCGCACGTCCAACTTGTGGTAACATATTGGTGTCCTATGTCAAATGTCAACAAAATATATCGAAAATTTTGCCTCACATTTACTCGAGGACACGACGTACAAACACAAAGACGCAGTCAATCGGAAAAATACGGAACCAAAGATAAGACGTGCCATCTGTGATGACCTCAATGGAAAGAAATCAATACTTCCGAATGGCATCGGGGACAAATCAGAAGTCAGTCAGTACTGATTCTGTCTTCAAACAGTCGGCTGGTCCCGATTGAATAGTCGCCATTAAACTACGGTTGGAATTATTTGATTTCGGTCGGTCAGTAACAACGTAAATTTGTGCTCTAGAAATGGAGTTCCTCGGGACCATTAATGTTGCATCTGTGCAGAAGCTGATGCGTAGTGACTTGTGTAATTTGTCTATGTTACGGCATCGTATTAGTTCTATTATCGATTGCGGGAAATTAAAAACTCGAATATTTTAAATTTTCCAAAATTATAAACAATCTTGTGTTTGAGTCACTACCATACCTTTGCACTTGAATAATTTAAATTGGTTGCCTACCTGTGGACCTCTCAACACAATAGGCTCACGTCACTTATCCATGTTTTTACGCAGTTCTAGTTGTTGAATTGCATGTGTGATCTAATTACGCTTTAGAAATATTAATACACATGTTAAAATTTTATTTTAAAATTTTTCGAGTGCATAACTCCTTCATCATTTAGTCGAGGTTCGTGGTCGTGGCCAATTGAGCGTTTCTTCCACCTCGCGAATTTGATTCCTTCGTCTGAATTTATTACAAGTGTTGCGGCACGAAAGTGTATGAATTTTTATTACTTACCGGTGGCACGACGTCCATACAAAATTTCAGCAATTTCCGACCATCAATAGTCTATTTCGAAAATTAGTGCGCAGGGCGCTATGTTCAGCTGACTCAGATTACCTCTATTCGGTTGCCTTGGTTTAGTTAGGTTAGGTTAATGGGTCATGTGCGCTGAAGTTGATGCGCAGTGACGTGATGCAAATTGTCTCTGATAAGGCATTGTATGAGTTCTAATATCGATTTCGGGATATTAAACAATCAAATATTTCAATGTTCTCACATTATAGAACAATCTTGTTGTTTGAGTTACTACCATAGCTTTACATTTCAAAAATTTTACATTCGTTACCTTATTATTGACCTCGAATGACTATTGGCTCACGTCACTTGTGTATGTTTTTACGCAATTGTAGTTGTTGAATTCCATTTGTAGTCTGCTTACGCTTAGGAATCATTAATACACATGTCAAAATTTTATTTTAAAGTATATCGAGATATTACAAAGATTCGGCTTGACAGAAATATATATGTATACATATGCACACACACGTCACATTTATGCACGTCCAACTTCAGTGAATTAGGTACATCTGGAATTTATTGGCTCTCACCATAAGAAACTCTCGCCTCTTTTCTACACGCGTGTAATGTCGAAAGTTAATTCACGGAGTTTAATGACACATCTCGGAATTCACACGTTCACGTACATCAGACCGTAAGTGTAATTTTCTACTTGTCTCCATTTTGCTTACGTCACTGGAAGGAGAACGTAAGTTAATACGTAATACGTGTTCCGATTACCACTCGTACTAACGATCATAAACAATTTGTAACGCTTTTTGATTTATACAATAAGACAGTGCATTAATATGCTAAATGGACCTAAACGCATTTAGTTACATGTATTTTCATTATTCGTAATATATATTTACTTCATATTAATTCGATGCGCGGATCTTTGCTTATGGATGCGCTACGACTGGTATAAAAATGTTGAGTATGTTAACTAGACAAATCTTGTGCTTTAAATCTATAAATTTTTGCCTCGTGATGTTCTTCGACACATGTGGGCCCTAGTTAATAAATTTGTACACATATTTGTGTTTAATTAGTTAGTGATAGGCACATTGGTAGTGGCCGTGGTCGATTGCGCAGGTCTTCCACCTCGCGTCATTGACATTTTCTTGATAATTTGTTAGGGGCGTTATGACATAATAGAGTATGGATTTAATGATCTTACCTGTGGCATGACGTCCGTAGAGATTTTCAAGAATTTCCGTCCATCCATTCAATGATTAAGAAATTCCTGCGCAGTCAGCACATCCCGGTTTTAGGTGGGTTGGGTTTAGTTAGGTTAGGTTAGGTTGGTGGGGCATCTGCGCAGTATGTATTACGCACTGGTGTTCTGTCATGGCATACAACCCTTTGATATTTGCGCACTGTGTGATCGTTGTTGTTAATTGCGTGAAATTAAAATTCTACAATATTTTAATTCTTCACATATTAAAGAATTATTAAGTCGGCATTAATTCCAATATATTTCTTGTAAAGGATTTTACATTGTTTACCTGTTGACCTAGTTAGTGGAAAATATGTTGTTTGGTATGCAGACTTTTGTTGTCGAATTATTAATGTCGTCGACACACAATGATTGATATGCTTTTATTTAACACTTGATGGAGATGTTACAGATTTATGATTCTTCATCACCCTTAAAAAATGAATGTGTTTATTAACTTTGCACATGCGTATTTATCGTGGTTCAAGGAAGTCTTCATGTGATTTCCGTGCTACTTATACAAACACAGGTGTGGTCAGGGCAAAATAGGATGGTGAATGTTATTTTCCGTGTGGGTGTTGTCACGTCTCGAGGAATAACACGTAAATTAACATCGCACCGTTGCTCTATGTTTTAGCTGGACTCCATTTTGATTACGTCACTGACACCTCTTTCTACTCTAATGATCACTATTCGATGCACAGCGTAGTTTTGGAAGTAACGCAGGAATTTAGAGTTTACAATTTTTCCGAAGAACAGTTTTACGAGCATGAGTGTGTTATATACCGTCCTTTCGAAATCCTATTGTTCGAAGGGAATTTAAGTAGCCAACGTTCTCTCACGAACAGTACACAGCTCGACGGTTAAATCAATAAGACCGCCCGTGTCTTGTAGCCTTCGACGTTGATAGCACGCATTTTCGACGTAGTATATAGAGTTCGTTGCAGTCGAACTTCGGAAGTTTTAGTTCAGTGCTCGTTCCGGTAGTTTGTGTCAGTGCGCGCGTTTTGCATGTTCTTGTATGCCTGTGCAGATTATTCTTCGATATGTTTAGTTTTAAAAGCGCGACATCAGTAGATTGTTATTAGAAGGTTCTTATTACCAACGCCATCTTTTCGAAATATTTCGTATTCCACATTGGTAGTGGTCGTGGTCCTGGTCGATTCTGCATGTCTCTTACCTTGCAACTTTGATGTAATCGTGTTTCTTTATTACAAGATTTGCGACATAATAGAGTATGAATTTCGTTAACATACATGTGTTATTAGGACCATATAGAATTTCAATATTTGCCGATTAATCATTGTACATTGCCAAAAGTAGAACGAAGGACGACATATGTTGTTGGCACAATGAAATGTTAAAATAATATATATGCATTTATTCCTCTCAAACGTTATAACTTACGATATCAGAGTTGTAAAATTAATCTTGACATACGAGTATGCTTAGTTTTGCGTTTGTGTTTTTGTGGTTGGAGTTAATTTCAAATGTTCAAGAGTAGTTATTTTGCTTACCGGCTAGATTGCTGTCACGTCTTTGTTTTGTTTTCTTGTGAATCGCTCAGAGGTAGCAGCACAGTAAAGAAGCCGGTATGTTGCTAGTAATAATGTTGGTTCTTTATTATTCTGTGCTATGTGCTCGTCATGTTAACGAAATACAGTAATTTTTGTGTGTGTGTGGTGAAGTTTGGTGTACGGTAATTTAACGTGTAATTACAAATTGAATAATTAAGCCGAAATTATGGCCAAAACAGTAGATTTGGAATTGAAGAAGGTACGATATTGTAATATTAACTAAAATTTACAATATTGTACTGTGTAAAGAACAGGACTTTTGATGTTCAGTTGAGTTTCAGTGTTATGTAATGCTATTCCGTTCATGTGCTCGTGTTTGCACCACATGTTAAGTAGGAATTACAAAAAATGGAATATTGTTCTTACAGTATTAGACCATTACTATGTGTGTTGTGAGTGTGTATTTTTAGCTGCTTTGAATGTATTATTTCTTCACTGAATGTCAATTTCATAATTTTGTTTTAGGCATTTGCAGAGCTGCACCAGAAACTGGCAGAAACTGTACAGAAAATGAAAGCTGCCGACGAAGAAATTTCTTGTCTAAAAAATTCAATGCAACATGCTCGACTAATGGATTCAGAAATTACAGTATGTATGTTGTTGAAAGTGTGAACATTTTTAGTTCCTTCAAGGACACAAAATGTTATATTATTAATTTTATATACTTTTTAAAGTATTGCGTTTTCCTTTAACAAGCATGCCATTATCACTTTTTAGGCGTTTATTATTTAAATCACAAAATGGTTTTAAATAAATCCTTGTCCCCCTCCCCCACTTGTCTCTGTGTATGCCAGTCAAGTATTTATATTCTGATCCCTTTTTGATTTCTGTAAAATAATTTATTATGAGGACATTAAGTTTGAAGCATACAAATGAATCTTTGTTTTCGTAGGTGTTTTTTTAATACTGACAGTGTATCAAGTCAGATTATTGCAGTTGGTACTCCCCATATCATTTCTAAGACAGTAAAAGTCATTGTTACATGAAACAAGCTTAAAAGGAAGCTTTTTTAGGATACTCTATTATGTTCCAAGAATCAGTCAGCTATGGCCCTTTCTTAGACTGAAAATGTTATGTCAAAACACGTTGATTTGTTGATCCAATGATGGTCAACAGTGGGTCTCATAACAATATTTCAGTACCATTGGGGATGCCAGTGGATCACAGGACTATATTATTAGAGGCCCAGTCTTCATTAAGTGAAATAGTGTTCTTATGCCACAGCTAGAATAGGAAAGATGCATGTGAGAACCACCACAGTGTCACAGTTCATGCATTAAGAGTTCTAGTTTTTGTTTTCATTGGTGCATCAGACGACAGAATGTATGCCTGGCAAAAATTGAAAAATTGTATGAGAGACAGCATGTCAACTTATTAATTTACAAGTTAAATTAATACCAACAAAAAGTTTATTTTTCTCAACAGTTTAATTTGGTTATTTCAGGTATAAGTTTTGCTTGTGAAACAAAGTACAATTTTTAGTGACATTTGCTGTTTAACATTCTTCCTTGTCTCTTTGCCTATGACTGTTCAGGTCTGGGCACATTGTCATACGATCTCCAGAATTGTTGGTTAATCTTAGAAAAGAAAATGTCAAATCAAACAAAGATTTTAATTTTTTTTGAGTACAGGGATGTTATAAACTTACTTGGCTTACAATGGATTATCCTTTGAAAACCATAATGTACCATACCAATGATGTGCTTTAAATTCTTAATACTAGGACTGATACAGTGATGCATTAGATATTACATTTATATCGAGTTTATGTTGCAACTCTTAAAATTGTGTTTTGTTTGCTTTAGAGGCTAGATACTAGCACGAAGATATATGAGAGTGTTGGTCGAATGTTCTTATTAACAAATATATCAGATTTACACAATCATCTTGAAAACAAATCTGAAACTTGTGCTGAGAAAATTAAGATACTTGAGGTAAGTTTAATTGTTATATTATTGTACATGTACTGTAACATTTGGTATGGAATAAGCCCTTGCTGTTGACCACATGTAATACTAGTCTAGTGTATTTCTGTTTTGTCCTAGAGTAACAAGAGTTATCTGGAGAGAAGTCAGAAAGACAGTGAGAATAACATTCGTGAAATGATTCAGCAGCGGAGAGAGAAGGCCCAAGAAACTAACTAGGACATTGTGATTATTGTAAAAATGTTAACAAGTTTTTCTTTTTTCTGCTACTAACCTGCAGTTTTCAGTCTGCTCCTATATCATGATGACTTACTGTTCAGAGTCATTATTTAATTTATTACTGTGTTATCATATTTTATTAATTGAATCACATTTTGTGTGCTGGTGGTAGAAGATCAATAAACAAATAGGTATGCTTGACAAATTTTGGACACCAGTTTACCAGAAATTACATGTTTCATTACTATTGTATCCATGAAGGTAGCACTATGCTGAAAAACGTATGGGAGTTAGACTGCCATATGTTCTTGACCTTGGCACTACATGGAAATCAGTAGTACCATGGTCCATTTACCTCATCCCATTAAGAAAGATTTTTGTGGTACCTGTCGGGTATGATGTGGGATGGGCCACCAATCAAACGTGGATGAGGTAGCTAAGAGAAAAATTCCCAGTTTGATGGAAGAATTGTATGTCCACCTACTGTCAGTCACTTTAATGTTGAGCTGTAGGTGCTGTAATATTCTGTCCATACTTTGAACAGGGCTCCACATATACAGCTGGTAGCCACTTTACAAAATTCATTTGCCCATGACCTCTTTGTGCTTCACACATATTTTAAAGGGGACTCAAGTTAATGCTACATGTTAAGATCTGGGAGTGTTACATACTTTGTTTTCAGTACTTTAATTTGGTATAAGTTATTTAATCCAGACTGGCACAAAAAATGTATTTGTCACTGGTCTTTGTTTACTTGCCTTTTATGAATGGACACACATACTTCTGGAGTTTTGGATTTGTATGTACAAACTCCCGCAGTCACAACTGTTTACCAGTAATTAATGGGATAAATATAACCTCAAGGCCATATGTAGCTCTGGAAATGAAACTATTTGGCATTCATAATATAGCATGTCTACCAATTTACAGTGATATTGTATTGTCAAGTACACATTCTCCAAATTATTTTTTTTAAAAGATCTTAACCCTTTTTAGCATATAAGGATTTATTGAAATTGTATTTGGTGTCACCAAATGATAGTGTAAAACCACATATATTGTTCAGCATACAAATTATACATGATGGAAGGGTGGGATTGTTAAGTCACTTCAAGAAATAACATTAACCTGTTACGGCATATATATACATCTCTATTTCCAATAAATATATACATATGTCACACATCACAGTGCAGATAGTTTCACATTATACAGTTTTTATTCTGTGAATGCCTCAATAGAAATATGCATTTTTAAGTAAAAATATCAACATGCCAACTATCAAAACCAAGTAAATACCTTATCAGTGTGACAGCCATTTAGTGTTACTGCTGAATTTTTTTTGGGTACGCTGAAGTTATTTTTAATACCCCTAGCAATCAAGAATATTTTCTTTACTGTAGTGTTTCCTAGTTATATTATTTTAAATATACTCAAGACAACAACTATTTGTGAATAGGAATATTTAGTATTCCAGTATCATAACATTGAATATCTTAAACTAGTACATCATAACAGAAAATATTATTTCCCACATACAGTGTCTTGACCGTCTTCAGTCTATAATGAGTTTCGCTACTAGCTGCCAGCTGTAACACATTAAATTTCTTGGAGCATTAGGCCAAAAGAGATGTCATAGAATACAAATGTAAATGATGTGATAATGTGGGTCCTGATACCATGTTTCATATTAAAGCTGTCATAGTGAACTGAATAAATTCTTTGTACTTTGCTTTCTACAAATTTTTGACACACAACAAACCTTGTGTTGCCAGATTTAGCTTCATATATCAAGATTTGTTGATACTGTTATTTTCTTTGCATATACTTCATAGTTATCATTTTACATTTAAGCAATGATTTCTTTGCAACACCAACTTTTCTTGCTTCTGATTTCAAATAGTATGTTTGGTATTCTTTTAATAATTATTTTACTTAATTAACAACCCTGGTATCAGTACACAAATTATACCACTTCCTCACTTCGAACATAACTGCTTCAATCACAATTCAGCAAAGTTTTTAATCTGTGAGGCAAACATAAAGAAAACTAAAAATATTGCTTTCCTTCCTACATAATTTGTTTAAAAATAAGCCAAAGTAGTATCTGAATTATAACAAGCCATAATTCCATCAAAGGCTTGCCATACAAGACCACATAATGAAATGTTTCTTTTAAACTAATGGCAAACCAGCTGAAATGGAAGATTCAATACCACACTCATCTTTCCCTCGCAGGATACGGAAATATCCATTTTCACCCCAATCAGAATTCCAGGAGTTGGCAACAAACCAGTACGGGGTACCATTTTCTACACCCCAACCCAGGATCCTAATGGCATGACCTCCAAGAACAGAACCAGTTACATGCTGGTAAACACCTATTAAAGAAACAAATTACATTATGCTTTACAGGTAACAGGATTATATATATACTGCAGAAGAGCTAGTTTCCCAACCAAATTCCAAACTGGGTATCTCCTGAATATAAGTCAAACATGTTACCAAGTTTCAGTGGTAGAACACACCTTATTTTCAGGATATAACTTGTAAAGGGAAAGTTGTCTCTCATGCTTAACTAAGCACCACAATATGAATATGTAAGAAGGAAATGGAGGTACAGGTCCACTTGACCTGAGCACTAGACAGGTATGAATGGAAACATTTACACACTAGGTCTTGGCACCCAGGGAAAGAACCCATTGGATGAGGCTGGGTAGGCCCTAGAATCAGTCTGGATGCAGTAGTTAAATTTTATTACACCTACTGGGAATTGAACCCCAGCTGTCTAACCAACAGCTCAGTCATGCTGACAGCTGTTTTGGGTCCTCATTTTACTTTACTCTTACAAGGACAGTATTCTACATTTCAACAATTATTTCAGTGATTTTAAGAATGGTGGTTTAAAGAACTTCAATGAAAATGATAAACAAACTTACATAAGTGACAAAATTAATATATATATATTGATATAAATAAAGGTACCTGATTTGTATTGTACAAAATCTTCAAATACAGTGAATGCACCTTCAACAGGGCCATTAATCAGGATCTCCTGTTGAATTTTCTTAACATCATTTTCAATGCTGTAGGCATGACTACCTGAAATACGCAAAACAGAAACACCTCTACATAAGAACTAAGAATAATGAACTTTCACAACTCAAGCACACTACAAAACAAAATAAATAAAAAATGTTTACAAAATTCTGTGCGACATAGACATTTATCTGTTACACAAGTAGCATGAAGTAATGTGTGTGTGTGTGTGATTTAATGACAAATAATAATAATTGCATTATTGCTTATATCTTGTACACTGAAACTCACCAAAGTGTTTGTCCTTCTTGTATGACACATCATAACTTTTCTCACATTGTTTCTCACAGTGTGGAGTACCATGTCCCTCTTTGCATGGAATTCGAGAGCCATTAACATGATGTTCACATGGAGCAATGACATATGGTTGGCATCCCTGAACACAAATATGAACATGGCATCAGTGTAACAATTCCAGTGATTTCTGACCTTTAACTAACATAGCTTCACAATATCTGTCTCCTCACTTCATGGGGCAGAAATGTAAATACGTCTTCATATATAGTGCTCATTATTATATTTTAACTGAAATTGTAATGTATTTAATAAATATTAGTAATTAATTAATTGGTTAATTTACTGAACGAATGCAACAGTTAATGCTATTCTCTACCATACCACAGAATTTCATGTCTATGACAAGTCATGGATGGTAACAAAAAATAACAATACTGTTTTAAGATACAACAGGGTAGAAGAACATGCATAATTATAAAAATATGCAACTTATTCAGTGGCATTATGCATGCAGCAAGTTGTATTACCTGATTTGAATTATATGATCCTCCACTGACAATTCCTTTTTTTACCCAGTAACTCCATGCTGCACCAGGGAAGCCTCCATTGCAGCCAAACCCACAAGAGTGACAGCATGAAACAAGATCCTCTGCTGAAAAGTGGAAGTTGACTGTGCCATTTGAATGGATGCAAACTCTATCTGACATGGCTTCAACTGCACCAAATGCCTAGAAGATTTACATGCAGATTATAAGCTGAAAGACAGTTTTACATCATTTTTGCATATTTATCTTTAATTTCATTCCTAATTTTTAGTTCTTTCTGACTGCCAATTACAGCTGGAATTGTTAGCTGTACCCATTTTCCTTACTTAATTGCATCTGGAAAATAATTACTACCACTTGTCTATGATGATATTAAAACAGAACTTCAGTATGAAAATCCTGAATGAAATGGAAGAATTATAATAGTAAATCAAACAAAGACACAATGTAAAACATCGTTACTTAGAAAAAATAGGCAAATCCCAATTTTTAAGCCATTCTACAGACCACGGAACAACTGTTGCATTATGTATTCAATGAGTGTATCACCTCACATTCCAAATCCAGATCTTTAAAGATGTGGTAGTGGCATTATTATGGACTGTACTAAAAGATGTCATCCTCAATCTTGTTCCTCAGTGCACTGTATCTTGCCCCAGTACTGCTAAAAGTATCAGAAATGGGAGATCCCTACCCAACAAGAGCCACATGATCCTTGGTCACGTATCTCCTTTATAGTTGGACAATTCGGCCATTGTTCCCTGGCATCAAACTCCTCTGGAATTTCTGTATTAGTCAGTTCATCATTTTTTGTTGGCAGACGAAACAAATGTGCATCACGGTGAACTCCCATAAGCCGAATGATGTACGTGAGAGGAATATCCTCCATGAAATTCTGCCCAGCCTACAAATAAAACCAAAAGTGTAACAAATTAACCCTGCAAGTTACAGTACAGGTTTACAAAATTACAAGCGCAACATTCTCAGAAAAGCAGCTCAATTTAACTACTACTGTTTGCTACAGCTTCCAGCATTAGACTTGTAGTTAAATGGAATCATGCAGTCTAATGTTACAGATGTCAGGTTCCATTGTTATAGATGGCCTGCTGAGTCAGAAATGAAGCTCCAGTTATGAACCATGATGTTTACATTCTGGCTGGTCAGTCTTAGACAATAGTGGAATGGTTTCTGACACCCATACTTACAATACATGTGATCTTTATGAAACGGGGTTATCAAACACCAGCTAGTATCAACTGCAAGCAAATTTGAACATATGGGAGAGAAACGGGCACGTGTCACAAAAAAAAAAAAAACTTTTTGCAAAGTGGAAAAAAACTTTTTTAATGTTTCAGAGAGTTAATAAATCTAGCAATACTGTTTCTCAACTTTCTGGACATTTACCCTAAAAGTAACAGAGACTCCACATTACCAGGATGTAGTCTTACCTTCCATGTTGTGTTGAGTGAATTTATATAATTGATAAATTCTTCTGACAACACGTAACTACGTTCCGACGGTACTGGTTCCGCAACATGCAAACCAGCGCATAATAAAAGTATTGTCACTGTCAGGTAATAAGCAAAAGATGTCGTACTTGCCATATTCTGAGGAAAAAAGTAAGGAAATGAAATCGGTAAGTGTCCCATAATGTTTGCTTTTGAGACGGAAATTTAATTTATCACCAACAAGGCTGATGACTCAGAACGATATGATATTTTTTCCATTGTACATAGATATACAACTGCACATTACAGAAAGACAAGTTGCCTTACCCTGATTTGAAAAAGGTTTACAGGAAAATACAATGACACTATAACTCAAAACACGTAATTTCTCCTAATAGTTTTCACACTATGACGACAATCACCATTAGACAGTAAGCATCACGCAACAACAGCAAATACAATCTACACCATTAGTCTATATCTATGGCTGATAGAAAGATATTGTCACATATGTTTTGTCTCCGTGGTGAAGGGTGGTTATATTTGTGCGCATTTTGCTATCCGTGGAAATCAGAGATGCGATGAAAGGTAAAGAGCAAAGTTGGTGTTCGTAATTGTGAAAACTCAAAGAAAATAATTATCTTGTTGTCTGCGTCCTCTGGTGATATAATCTAGAACCCAATGTGAATTAGAAAATATTTCTTAATAATTTTGTAAATTGTACATATTTTAGCATGTTGTCAGTCAGAGGCAGAAGAATTTAAACATACCTATAATGAAGTATCTATGAAACGAAATTATATGACTGTTCAGTGAATTTACTTTGAAAAAAAAAACAGAATTGGCCAATCACATGTTTTATTCCTTAGTTATCGTTAAAGGGGCGGAGAGATTTTAAATAATTTGGACGCTTGTGATTGGAGATTTCAAGTACCGAATTTCACTGTAGAGAGGTCGGTGCACTTGACGGTTGGTGTTTGGTGGTTCTTGCTTTGTTGTATTTGGTGTTTGTAAGGAAAAAGGGGAAAGTTTATTAGTTTGTAAGTTATATTAGAAATCCGTTATTTTCTCAGAGGAATCAGTTGAATGTTACTCGTACTTGGAAGGTTTTTTCTTGGATAATAAGTTCTCGTTTTATTTTTTAAAGGTATCCAGAATGCCATCTGAAGAAAGCGATATGTCGAGCAGACAGAATAGATTAACTTCCTTCAAAAATAAGGGGAAGAATGTAGATGTAAGTATGACTTTTCAGTGAAATAGGAATATTTTTATGTATTCATTAGATTGCTGTCGGGCAGTTGGATACATTATGTTTTTCTACATTGGCTGTCATCTTTACTCCTAAGGTATGAAACGTGTTTTTTTCATTGAAACGTAGTTTTTCACTAAATAGCAGGCTTGCATTTTGAGATTGGACAGATGTGTGACTTTTTGAGGACAATACTGCCTATGTGTAGAAGCTTACAATACTTCCAATCCGGAGGAAAGGTTGGAATGATTTTCGTCTCAGATTTAAGCCTCTCACAGTTGTGAAACTGATTGTGGTCATTTAATTTTTGTCACTATGTGGCCTTTGGATAGTTACCAACATTTCAGAGGAATATATATTTGTACATGTTGGGTGTAGTAACCAAAAATGGTTTGAAGGTCTCCAGTGATGTATGGATAATATTGATTTTTGTTCAATTTAGGAGAAAAAGTACTTTTCATTTATGTTAGGAATAAGTCTCTTACAAAATTGCTTTATAAGTTCCCACATGTTACTTGCTTTCGGAATTTAAAAAAAACTTAAGATAATGAAACAAAATTTTTCCCAGGTAACAAGTGAACTGAAAAATATAAATATATCTTGAAATAAGTGATAACAAAATGTAATCTGTCATTCTCGATCGACTTGTTGTTAGTGTGCTCACCACTGGACCCAAGTTTCACAGGTTCAAACCCAGCTGGGATTGATGGATTTTTAAGGGTGATAAAAATCTGTAGCCCAACTTCATTTGGAGGGGGGGCCTCATGTCATAGATTTACAGCATGTAAAAGAACCTCATGAGCATGAACAAGATGTTTTGTAAGCAACATTCAGCAGCCATTTCTCACCCTTGTCTCCTGATTCTCTGCTAGATGGCTCTAGCAGACAAAATCAGGATCGAGTAAAAATTGTGCAGAGGCAGTAGGTTGGTCGCTCACTTCTCACACATGCATACTTAAAAGACTAAGAAACCTCCAAAAGGAGGTGGCAAAGACCCACACTGGGTTGTAGACCCAAGGAAGAAGAAGAAGAAAACAAACTGTAATCTTAAGTTTCATAAAATGGGTTTTGTTAAAATATCACATATTTTGTGATAATGAACTTAACAGTTTGGTTTTGCAGTTAACATTGATACCAGTTCACAAAAAGAGGAGTAACTGAGGAAGTGCAGACAGTGGAAATAAGTTTTATTTCCCCATATTTGTTTTAAACATTAACAGCAGTTTTATCTCTTAGTAGTAAACAGCACCAAACTCTAATGAATTTTTGTAGTGTCCAACTTAATTATCATTATTCTGAGGACTTGGGTGGGAGAAGTACTGTGTCTTTTAATCTCAAAACATTTCTGCAGTGTACCTTTATAGACTAATTTCTGTTGCATTTTACCTGAAATAGAATTTGTGATTGCAACATATCTTTGTTTTGATGAATTTCAAATGAACTGTTCTTGCAAACCATATGAAATGTGGTAATGTTATGGAGGTTGTGTGTTTTTGTAATTTTGTGTTAAGCTTGATTTGTATGTTGGGATCTATCTGCTTGGCGAAAGCAAAAGCTTGTAACATTATTTTCACAAAAGTGTTACTTTGTCATGTGTCCTGTCCTTGTTAAATTGTAGACTTGTAGTGGATAATTTTTCATTTCAAAAAGTTGCTATAAAATTATTATATACCATAGTTGATCAAATTCAAGGGATGAAAATCACTGTATTGAAGTTATATAGGTAAAGCTGTACATATCTTAACTTGGCACTACCAAATGCTGAGAAGTCACATATCTCAATTTTCATGTATTCTTTGTATTTTTGTTTATTGTGAGTAGACTGACCCCATATGGTATTGTTCTGTTTCTCACAAACTCATATAACTCATCCCATTTATTAGGTAGTCTACATGGAGTGTGTTATATCTCATATCTTCCTGAAATAAGACTTCTGAACATACAACTCTCATAGCCAGAAATGTGTTTTATGACCTCATGTCTGTTTGAATATTTATAGGTTTCCATTTTTATCCCTAAAGAAACTAATGAACTGCTACATGTGACAGCAATAACTGTTAAGAACTATACTAAAAAAAACTTTGGCTCATGGTAGTTGCTTAGCCATGTGTCTGCAGCAATTGTACAGTTAGTCCGCAGTACATAAGCTCAAATATCCCATAGCATTATTACCAAGGCATTAGTTATAATCGTCAGTAGTGAATATAACACACAATTGTGATCTCGTTATAATAAATTTTTACTTCTAGGAGATGCGCAGGCGTCGGAAGGAGGTGAGTGTAGAGCTTCGCAAAGCACGTAAAGATGATCAGTTGCTCAAAAGGCGAAATCTCAGCACTGAAGATGACCATATTTTGCCACTACAAGAAAATAGTCAATCACCAGCTTCACTAACAACAGAAGAAATTATTGAAGGTATAGTTTTAATATTGTATTCGTAAACTTTACAGTACAGAGAACACATGAGATTCCCAAACATACTGATACCTGACCTTTGCCATCTATATGTGCTCTTGTAGCATGTGTTGTGCACCCAGTTTTCATATATTATCTGTTATAATTTAATTTCTGCTACTGTAATGGAAGTTTTGATGAACTAGATTGAGGTCTCTGATCTTATATGTTGAATTGTTTATTTGCAACTGAAATACTTTCATGTATGTGGCATGTTTTAATTTTCACATAATCTGTATTATTTCTAAATATATATATGCTGTGGATGTTCAAAGCTTAACCATTTCTTATATGTAATCAAGATTATTGCAGGTTTTTGCCTGCCCCCTCCATGCACACAGTGCATTTATGCTCTAAATGTACTCTGTTCAGAGCTAAGCGGATATTGAAAGTATTGGTCTGTTATTGGCTGGCCATTCTCTCAACTTGAAGTTCAGATGAGGTTATATGAATTATATAGTTCTTTGGGCTGGCTGACATTGGCTAAGAGGAATACAGCAGTAGGCAGAGAGATGAAAAATGTCTAGGGCCACCACCCAAGGGACTTCATTTCATGCTCTTTGAAAGTCATAAATTTTGCTTAGTGTTTATGTTGTTGTTTTTTTTAAAAAAAAAGTTTGGCTACATTTTGTGTAGTTTTTCAGTGATAAATTTTTCATGTCTTTTTGATCTTTTCTGTAATGAACTGTTAAGTGCAGGAATTTTGGAGTGGAAGTTATAACATTATTATGATTGTTGATTAAACGTTCCATTTCTCAGCACCAACAGATAATTAAGGTTATGTAAGATTTGAGGTTTTTACAGTGGTGAGTATGAAGATTTCTGTCTTCTGGGTTGTTACGCTGTGTAGTCTGGTCGATGTTAACCAATGTATTCATCGCCCTCATGACGGAGGCACTATGACCTCTGAAACGTTGGTAAACATCTACCACACTACACAGTGCAACAACCCAGAATACAGAAATCTTCAGTTAAGGTTATGTTAAATTAATATTGGCAGGGATAAAATCGTTCAGTAGTTACTCTCAAAATAACTTAAAACTTTTCCAGGTATATACTTGAGGAATATAAAATCCTGCTTTAAATATTAGAAGTTATTTGATTGGTTCTATAAAGTGTCCATTGATTTGTTGAATGAAGTTTTATAGTAATAGTAAAATGGTATTTTGTTTCAAATTTGTATTTAAGGAATGAATAGTAGTGATGACCACCGCCAACTGGTTGCAACGCAGGCTGCACGGAAAGCACTCAGCAGAGAAAGGAGTCCACCAATTGATGCCATGATTAAGTCTGGTATTGTTCCAAGATGTGTGGAATTTCTCTCTCGGTTTGATAAGTATGTGAGCTTCATGTTTGATCCATAATAATAGTTTTAGGTCAGTACACACAGTTCACGGAATTCCTTTTACAAGTAAAAGTGAATGCCCTCTCCATTGAAAGTAGACTTTGTAGTCTGATGGGTTTTTACTTCCAACATTGCCACCTGTATGAACTTAAGTTTTAACCACATACACACACACATATACAAAGTTAAATTGTTTCATAAAGCTTGCAGGTAATTTTGTTTACAACATAAATTTTCTCTGAAACACAAATTTTGTTGAATTAAGGTCAGTATGGTAAGGGAGGAACCGGGGTAGCTCAGTCGGTATAGTGACTGACTATGGACTGGATGACTGGGGCATCCAGTCTCTGTGTCCAAACTGGCTCTGGGGCCCACCCAGCCTCCTGTCTAGTGGTTCAGGGGCAAAGCACAGCTGGGACATGACGCTAACCACTCACCCCCATCTAATGCTGAGGTTAAGAATGAGTAGGAGCTATACCACCACTCCACCCCCACCCCCCAAGTCCATACATGGTATATGCCGGGACAACCACTGTGGTAAGGGTAAAAATGAACTGTAGAGTGGCCATGTTTTTGCGAGAAGGGCATATTGTGGTTTTTTAACTGTTACATTTTCCTATGTATTAGGAAATATTGTTAAAGTTTCAACATCTCTTAGCAAAAAGGGATGTTAACAGGTATAGGGGCACAGGTACCAAATGTGAAAGGAGTTACAAAATTCATATTGTTACGACACTCCTATTTTATGATATGGAGTTTTTTTACACACTCATTAATAAAAATTGTTAGTTTCAGCCACTTTTTTAATAGTGGAAATTGACAAGATATTTATGAATGAATTAACAAATGTTTATTGTGTATGTTTCAGTGCTATATGCTTTTTGTAACCCACTTCTGTGTTCCGGATGTGTCCTTTCATATTTTGATTACTGTCACGCAGCCTAGTATCATCACTGAGACAACTTGCTTTATGTTAAGAAGGTTGATCACCTTTATACCACATCACGGATATATAAGTTCTGTTATACAATTTCTTGGATCCACGTATCTTTCTGGCTTGTAAACAATAATAGCATCCATTCCATTGGTCACTCTTCTCCCTTGCGTTTGCTGTACTCATATAGTTGACGGAAAGCCGTTTGTATGTTTTAGCCCATCTTTGCAGTTTGAAGCTTCGTGGGTGCTTACAAACATTGCGTCAGGAACATCTGAACAGACAAGTAGTGTTGTGAAACATGGCGCTGTACCAAAACTAGTACAGCTTCTAGGTTCATCATATATGCATGTCACAGAGCAAGCTGTATGGGCTCTAGGTAACATTGCCGGCGATGGCTCAACAGCCCGTGACTTGGTGTTGAATTCTGGAGCTATGCCTGCATTACTGGAGCTTATCAAACCTGATACCCAGGTGAGTGGATGAAAGTGGAGTAATAGTCGATTTAGTCCTGTCAGTCATGATTTTCTTGGTGTTAAAGTGCTTTCGTGCTTCATGCCATCGATTAGGGAATGTCAAATGGTTACCTCCTGTGTGGACTTCACTATAGGTTTATTTAAAAATTATTTTTTTGGGTTTACCAAATTCAATCCGAATGTTTTTTTTTATATATGTCTCGAAGCTTTAAGAGCAAGTGAAGGTACTAAAATATTCATATGTGTTCAGCTGGGTTAAAAAATGAGAATGTTAAATGTAATTTTGTGTGACAGTAAGAGTGATATTTCTGATTAATTAGTCAGTTTTATCACATTTTAAGAATAGATCTTGTTTAATGGAAGTTGGAATGTCTTCACTGTTTTAAGGCAGGGAATATGGATTGTTATATAAAAGCATGTTTCAGTTGTATCATCTTGTAGTGTTCATAATTTTCCTGAATGAGAGTTTCATGTAAACACTTTATGAACTCTTAGAACTTCAGTTGCATTTGAGCTCTGCATTGCCATCTATTGCATTGTTTTGTAAGTTTTATTTTGTTCCAGAAGGCATCATTCTTGAGAAATGTTGTGTGGACTTTATCTAATCTTTGTCGTAACAAGAATCCACCTCCACCTTTTGAGATTGTTCAGATGAGTCTACCTGTATTTAACAGACTTCTTCATTATGCTGACACTGATGTGCTTGGTAAGCAGAATTAAGTTTCTCCTCAGGGTGAGCCATGTATTGCAGTAGTGTAATATTCAGCTTTATGCTGTGTGGGAGGAAGGTTACCCTGGTACCCATAATGTGTGAGGCTGGATTTTATATTGAAGAGGATAATTATAACTCATATTGGCCCTGGAGTAGGAGCTAGTTGCCTTAATGACCTAATATGAAGGTTTCGGCCTCTGAATCATGCATTTAAACAATTGCTCTTATTATTTTGGTAGTTAGTCAAAAGTTGAATGCTAAATTGCATTTTTCTTGCATGATAAAATACCATTTACAATTAAAACATTGGATTGGTAGCACCAGACACTAGTGCTTCAAATGGAAAGGGCAAGGTTAAGATTTATGAGATTTTTGTATGTTGGTACAGTGCATCTTGAACAAAATATTTGTTGTGAAGCAAGTTTTAGTGAAGTTGAAACTAGTCTGAATATTATTAATGATTTAGTCCCTACCTCAAAGAAAACAGCACATCTCAATTAGAAATATCATTTGGTTAATGATGGTATGGAAATATCCTTGTTTACTCTTTGACTCATGTTGTCCATAAACTTTACAGGCAAAACAGAGACTTACTGATTATTAAATAGGTGGTACATACCATTACCACTGATCTTTGAAGGGTTAATATATATGAGAAAGTTATTTAATTTCTTTTTTGTAGCTGATGCATGTTGGGCTTTGTCATATCTGACTGATGGAACTAATGACAAAATTCAAGCTGTCATTGATACTGGAATTGTTCCACGTTTGGTTGAACTTCTAGCTGCACCTAGTGTTGCAGTGCTAACACCAGCTTTGCGTGCTGTTGGTAATATTGTCACTGGCAATGACATGCAGGTTTGTTTTCTTTCATTGTGTATACCTGATTTACATAAATATAAAACAGTATGTTTAGAAACTTCAAAATAAACAGGAACACCTGGACAAATAATTTAATACAACAGTTGCCTGGTATGTATGCCTTGATCCCTTTCACATTTGTTGCATGATTCTCAATTTGTATTTGCTAAATATTGATTTGCATAAAGTGTTTTTCACCTCTTGTAACCATTGTTTGCCTATGCAATTTGCCCATACAAGAGATTCTGTGATTGAATACTCTTGAATCAGCTAGGAGTATCAGGCATCTGTTTTAGACCCCAGTTCTGTTTTTGAAACACTATCCTATGCAGCAGTTCCAGCACTTCCATTTTCAGATTGTTTTATTTAATTAAGCATGTGACTGCCAGGTGTTAAAATCAAGATTAAAGACCTTGGAAGATCTATGAATGTGGACATGTGAGCCATCCTTCCAGCTCCCTGCAATGAACGGTGCATTACTGCTTGACAAAGAAATAAAACCTTATTTACTTTATTTTATCAGTAACTATTTCAGAAGTGATATTTGGACCATGTCTAATGAAGTGTTTACATCACAGTCTAGAGTTTTAAAGGGATGTCAGATGCTTGCATATGAACAGATCTGTAATTTGAGTGTGGCAAAATTTTCAGCATTTGCTAAAAGCTGGCTTAGGAGTATAAAAAATACAGCTATAGATACTTGTTTTAAATTTCCTATGCATATTATATAAGGTAATTAACATTTTTTAATCATATCCCCTTCCCAATGTGTTACATTTGTCAGTAAATGTGTTTTCCAGGAATGTTTCCTTGCATTTGTCAAGGACTGACTTACAAGTATATATATATATATATATATATATATATGTGTGTGTGTATAAAATAATCTTATTAGTTACAGATAACTCTTATTTTGTCTGGTGTTCATTGCCTAGCAGGATTTGATTCTGTTGTTCCTTGCCGCTATTTTACAGCCTTGTCTGAGATAACTCAGTAATCAGTAGTATCGCTATCATATATTTAACCACCTGAAGACCATGGTAGGATGAAACATACAAGTTACTGGGTTATACATTAGTAGTATATGAAATGCTGTTTGACAGATTTATGTGTTTACTGTGCTGTTTTAGAGTATGAGAATGCTGTATTGTCAATAAATTGTACTATTTAAAAGAATTTGCATTTACAGGATGTATAAGTTAATTTTGTTTTATAGACCAACGCAATCATCCAGGCTGGTGGATTGACATATCTTAGGGAACTTCTAAGACATCCAAGACTGAACATTATGAAGGAAGCTGCCTGGACAGTATCAAATATCACTGCTGGAAATGTGGACCAGATTCAGGAGGTTATAAATTCAGGTCTTCTCGAACCTCTTATATATGTGTTATCATCAGTAAGTATGATGCAAAGTATTCTTTAATTGTATTCAGAATAAAATATGCAGAATGAGAGATTGGGTTTAAAGTAATATTTTCACCACATATTTTACACATTAATTATATGTGAATATTATGAATGGTGACTGGCAGGATTAGAAAGGTAGTTCTTTTGGGGGGGGAGGTTATTCAAAATAATGTCATATATTGGTGGTAAAATGTAGTAGATGCCAGTGTTGACTTCTTTCACTATTTACGTGTAACAGTGATGATAAAACAAGTACATTTTATAATGATAATTTTGTTACAGCAACCAAAATAATCGGCATAGCCAGTTTAACATTGTTTTCCATAACTTTTACATTTGTCTCACAGGGTGACTTCAGATCTCAAAAGGAAGCTGCATGGGCAGTGACTAATTTCATGTCTGGTGGTTCTGTACAGCAGTTGGCAACGATTGTTCAAATTGGTGTTCTCAAACCATTTTGTGACCTACTGAACAGTAAAGACTGGAAGATTGTTGTTGTGGTTATGGATGGGCTTAACAATATTATGCAGGTAACTAAAAGTTCCTTATATGAGGAAAGGGCTAATGAATCTGTGGGATCTGTACCACAAGGTACTTTGTGTTCTCAAATGTATCATGTGGTCATGTTGGTTGTTACCAACATTTCATATAAATATACTTTTTCATCTTCAGTTCTCTGAAGATGAAGTTACATTCGTCTAAAATGTTCATAACCACCTGCAAGACCAAGACCACACAATGTTGCAACCCAGATGACCACAATTGATTTTCTCACTGCTGAAAACCTCAGATGTCCGACTGTTCTCAGGTCTTTGTAACATAGAATTTTGAGAGGCATGTTTTTAAAATTTTGTATTTTGTCCTCAGTTTCTTTACAAGCAGTGAACATTATGATTACATTTTTCGTGTCTCAGCTGTACATATTCTTTTGGGCAATTCATTCAGCATGTTCTCACTTTTTCTTTCCTTGTAGACTGCCGAAAAAATGGGGGAGGTTGATAGAGTGGCTATCATGATTGAAGAATGTGGTGGACTTGACAAATTGGAACAACTGCAAAGTCATGAAAATGAGCAAGTTTACCAGAAGGCCCTAAACATGATTGATAGTTACTTCTCAGTGGTGGTGAGTTTTACATATGTAATGTATTTTTGTGGGCTAATTTTTACATTAACCTTTACTTCAGGTATTTAAAAGGTTTTGGAACTTTGTATAATTTTAATTGTGTGTGCATATATTTCCTGTCTTATTGAGTTCCTTGCAGACCTGTAATGATGTAACATGAAACTAAGAATTGTCACTTAATGAATTGGATGTCAAGGTGTTGAGAATGGGATTGGACTACTCATATTCTTCATTTGATTTTTCTTGGGAAACATTCCTTGTACTTACTTTGTATTCATTTAAACAGGATTGTGCAGACCCCAGCTTAATTCCTGATCAGACAAATGGTCAGCTGGACTTCAACACTGACCGGGTTCCAGATGCTGGATTTTCATTCTGAACACAGCTGTGTACGGATGCCATACCAAAAGGGATGAAGACTGTATTTAAATTAATATTCTAAACCCTAGGCAAGGGTGATTCTTAAAAATATTTTTATATGCAAAGTTTGAAATTTTCTTATGCATTTTCAATCATGTATTCTTTATAGTAGGTAACTTTTGATCAGTGCCAAGATTTTTAGTGGTAGTGGTGGAGTATTATACTTTATCAACTAAATTGTGGAGTTCTTGGTGGTAGGATGAACTTCCATTCTGTCCTTTTTTGTTTTGTATAATTTTTCTACATTTTTATGAATTGGTGTATATTTAGTAGTGAGAATAAAGCTTTTCAGTTATTGAGTGAATTTTATTAAGTCAAAATATTGATACTGCTATATTGTGAATTCTTGGATTTTTCCATTTACATCTGAGATAATCGATCATATAATTGCACGGGTTGACTTGGACACATGTTCTTTTGTCTTGCCTGCCACATTTCCATACCCAAACCTTGGGTGCAGTCTTTTGTCCCATCACCTGTTACTTCAATTGAGTGATATCTTGGGGTATCACAGTGTTACTGTTTATCGACATACTTCTCCGGGATTCCAATACATTTAGAGAACTTGTCTCATGTTCAAGCATGTTTCAATATTGAGTTTCACATGACACTATGAATGTATTTAAAATGGATTTTGTTTTTTATTAGGTAGTTGTCAACCAGAGGTTATGGTTTTGAAAACTTGAAGGAATAAGTTTAGTAGCTGCTAAAGTGACAAATTTCATAGTGTTTGAATGCTTTATCAAATCTTGTATAGAATTTATCTGAAGTAGGTGTAACTCCAATATGTTCTTTATTTACTTTTACATAGCATTTAAAACTTGAATGCATATTGTATATGGATTTAGTCTAAACTTTCATTAGCTTTTCAAACATGTTATTAAATTTATTTAATAATTGAAACGTGTAATTAGCTGAAAGGGAACTTGATCAGCAGTAGTGTTGCTAGTGCTTAAGCACCATGCCATGAAGACGGAGTGGTGTAGCTTCACACACTTTTAGTTTCTGGAGGTAAGTGGTTATCTTCATACATTATCTGCATTACACACTGTACTGATAATTTTAGTGCAGTGATTTATTTATGATCAAGCAATTAAGTTTTGTGAAAGTAGTGTTTGTATTTTACATGAACAGATGCCACTGAAATTTATGAAAAAAATTCTAAAAGATGGTCAAATATTAAACTTTTATACCACACTGCAGTTTCAACCCCCCATAAGGCAGTTATAACTAATTAAAATGAAGTTAAGTGTTTTTATATGACTATACGACACTTCATAATGCATGTATTTCAAACAAGGGACTCTTCAGCCCAAACTATTTTTTGTACCTACCGAGCTCTCCGAAACAAATTCTGAAATTAAATATTTACGATTTACATTAATAGATGGCACCACGCTATGCTATGTAATATGGAGTTCTGACTTTGCTGTACCAAGAAATGCATGCAGAAGTAAAATCGAAGTATCGTAGAAACTATATCTGTTGATTACAGTAATAATTATTAATACATATTAACAGAATGGTTAAGGAGCAATACAGGGAGACGAACTTGGCGAGAAAGATGTTCGTATTTTCAAATAATATTGCATTTAGTTTGTGTCTGACATAACCTCGTTTGTATTACCAAAACCTGGAATTTCTACTGTTGTCAAGGTGCCATAACTTGAGACACATAATTCACACACCTTATCTTTAATATGCCGTGTTTTAATGCACAAGAATTATTCAATTGTAGTGTTGTTTGCTGACTTCATTAGAAATATTATATAGACACTAGCTGTGTATCTTCCTGATAAAATGTTTCATTGAGATGGTTATGGTGTAAATTGAATAGTTTTGGCGATGGGATTTATTTTGTTACTGTTTTAATGGCAGATCAATCGTCACTTTAATTGGGTATTAGAACACTGGTATAAAGTGCAGAATGCTGCACTGCGTAGCCATGAATTTCTTGGCCTTCTATTTAGTCAAATATAAACCGTACTAAAAATGTTTGAAATCAAGAGTTGTAATTTCTAGCCTATTGTATAATAAATTCACGCTGTGAAGCCTTTCAGTTTTATTTAAATAGTTAAGTACTACCATTACCTGGAGAGGGTTATGTCATAAAGCAGCCTGTTGGCCTTTCATTATAATACTGAGTAAAGCTTAATATGAAGTCACAAGGGGTTGGTGAGGTTTTGAAACTATGTAGCAGTTTTCTGTATGATATGTCATTTTTGAGAAAATAAAGTTGTTTTATCTACACGTAAAAGTAATTGTAATTCTAGAGGTTAGACATACGTGTCATTGATGCGTCTGAGTACCATTCTTTTACAGTTCTAACCCAATGAGTATTAATGTTTCATTGAAATGTCGAAATGATATGTTGTGTTGGAAGAATCTTCTAATCCTCTTAAGTTTTCAACATAATGAGACATAATTTTGTTATTAATGGGGAATATGTTGAACTTACAAAAGCAGCAGTCGTTAGAAAAAAGTTGAGTGTTTTCAGATATGCACATTAGACAATTGAAAAACATTATGATTTGACCTGATTGAATATTGATGGATATTGATATTGTAACCCATAATATGCAATAGTGCTGTCCAGTGATAAATTGCAAGAATATGAATTCTGAAGATGATAGTGTAATACAGTCTGGAATACTGGATTTTTGGACCTTGTCCATTGTCTAATGTTACAAAATACATAACATTTTGAGGACTGGATCCTCATTTTCAGGTATAGTAGTAAAGGGGCACCTACTCTGTGGGGTTCATCAGAATCGGCTAATCTCAATCACTGGACACTGGTCCAGTTATTGAGTTTGACCTTGATATGTTGTGTTTTTATAACATTAGATGGTGGACAATGTCCAAAAACCCAACAGTCCAGACCATAAGAATAATGGTTTTCTTTGTATATTAGAATATGCATGACTCCTAATTTTGGTGTTTTGTATTTGCAGTTCTCATGTGTGTTTTGGTGTAGACAGCACCCACCAAATTCAGCAACAAGCCCATATCCATGTTGTTGCAAAAAATCTGTACAGTCAGGACACACAGCGTACCCCTGTACCATATGGGGTATTGGATCGTAGGATGGTATGTTTCTTACTATGTGATATGACAATTATATTGTATGAAATCTGCCAGCCATCATAACAGAATCTACCCTATAGGTGCCCCTACTTGAAGAATGGATTTCAAACTTGCTTAGGGATCATTAGAGGAAATTATAAATTGAGCAACCAACTTTATTGATATTCTTATGATCATTTTGTATCATATTATTATAAGTGAATAATACAGTGTAGGAATCTAATATTGTATGTTTGTTTGTCAGGGCACAAATCAAAAGGATGCAGACTGTGCAACATGTGGCAAGGGCCTCAATGATTGTATTGGACATTATGGCTACATTGATCTTGAATTACCAGTATTTCATGTTGGTTATTTTCGTTCAGTTATCTCAGTGCTGCAAACAATATGTAAGGTATGTCAAAACAAAGGATACAGTTCATGGCTTTATAGCATTTGGTAGTGCAGAATTGTGTAATACATATATTTTGATATTTAATTGTTAATGTTGTGAAATTAAGAATTTAATAATTGGCTGGATATCAAGCTTTGAGTGGGGGGGGGGGTTTGTGACAAGGAACATAAACAGAAGTTTGTTGGGGAAACCTTTTGTGTAAACTTCCTGTTTTATTGACACTGGTGGCCTTCAGGTTTGTGCCACCATGTAGACTTGCAGATGGTACAAACATTTTGGAAGAATATACTGCCTTTATCTTCAGGGCTGAAGATTTATTAACTTTCAACTATTAACTACCTGGAATGTTTAAAGATGAATTAATTATTAAGTTATAATTAACAATTACATATGTGGCTTGATAGTTAAGTCAGTAAACTGATAGGTATGGACTGCATTAGCAATGTGCAATTTCCAGCTGAGACTTTCTTGTTGTCATCTCCAGAAAAAGATCCAGGATAATTTAGGAAAATCCTGGCTACTTGGTGGATGTCTAGGATTTTATTCCCAATAGGGGTAGAGATTTTTCTAATTTCTCACATGTCTAGACCAGCACTGGAAAGCATTCAACCCCTTGTCGATTAAGTACAGGGGGACTGGAAGCTCTTTCTCCAGGGATGGATTTGGCTGGAAGATGTAGCTGATTTTGTACGATTCTTTACCTCTATGCCCCTTATATGCTTTTATAGTGCTGCACTTAGACACAAGAACATCTTTAATTTTACCATTGACCATATCATATTCACCCCTATTCTTATTCAGTTGGAATTTTAGGAATTTTTTTCAGAATAAAGGAATGCAAATTGGGAAGCTGAATTCTTATTTCTGTTTAGTGCTGAGCTTAGAACATTGTGTGTATGTGTTTGTACAAGCCTTCTGTAATTCTTGGTGTTTGTGATATTATTTTTCATTTTAGCTTTGCCTTGTCAATATTTACAGTCATGTGATGTATTTTCAGCTTAATTTGATGAAACTGGTGATAAATTTAATAATGTGCCTAATGTCTTTGCAGACATGTTCCCATGTTCTTCTGTCTGATAATGAAAGAAAGTCTCTTAAGATGAAGGTAATGAACCCTGCATTGCCATATTTGGTACGAAAGGCTCTCCGCAAACAGATCTTTGACAAGGCTAAAAAGGTCACAACTTGTCCACACTGTAGAGAATTGAATGGTGCGGTAAGAAAGTGTGGCCTTCTCAAGATAGTACATGAAAAATACCGCTCCAAGAAAGCCACAGATCCTGTGGTAGCAGAGACACTTGGTGAGTTCACTGATTTTTTATTTTTATGTGCTGCATTTCACTTTGGTTTGTAAAAACTCATCCCTGTCCTATCACAAATATTTATTTTCACATTTACTTAATTTATTCCCTCTGTTTTTAGTGTATTGCTTCATTTCATCAATATTTTTATTGTTTCCTCTTTGTACTCTCATATATATAGCTCAGTCAGTATAGTGACTAGCTACGGGCTGGACGACCGGGGTTCGATCCCCAATGGGGGCAGAGGATTTTTCCTCTAGCCTCTGCGTCCTGACCGGCTCTGGGGCCCACCCAGCCTCCTCTACAATGGGTACCGGAATCCTTTCCCGGGGGTAAAGCCGGCCGGGGCGTGAACCTAACCACTCACCCCCTATACCTCCACTCACCCCAAATGCCTACATGGCGTATAGTGGGACAAACTTTACTTTACTCTCATATATATTTTGTTCTGCTACCAAAAGTAGGAGTAGCAAATTCAAGAATTATGTGCTGATCTTTGTACCACAATTGGAATATGGAGATGTCTCACCATCTGTAGTTATTGGAAAGTTCTATAAATAATGGAAATTCATAGTTTGTAATTACAGAAAGTACATTTTTTTGGCCTTGTTATGTATAGAGCTCTCACTATGTATTGTTCATGATTGAATTGAACTTGGTGTCTTTGAGTTGTAGAGTTGTATTAGTATAACTTGTGTTGAAGTGTTCCCTATATCATAAATTTTTATAACTAATTGATTATAAAATTGTTGCAGCTGCTTATAGTGATGTCGTGGAATATAATCGAGAAATAGAGTTAGCTGTTTCAAATGGATTGGCTCACATATTCAATCCTTTGGAGGTTCTTCATCTGTTGGAACGTATTCCTGAAGAAGACATACCATTATTAATAATGAATGCTTCATGTGGACGACCAAAAGATCTGATCCTCACACGCATACCTGTACCACCACTTTGTATCCGCCCGTCTGTTGTCTCTGATCTGAAATCTGGAACGTATGTGTATACCTCACTGTCTTCAACTAAATTTTCTGATAAGTATATTGAGTGAGATTTGAAATTCTGTTAGCAGTGAAGATGTTGATTGCAGTATTCTGTATTATGATGCCATATGATCTTGTAGGTGGTTATGAATGTTTCTCTGAAATGTTGGTAACCATATATGTGTGTGTGTGTGTGTGTGTGTGTGTATGTGTGTGTGTGATGTGAAAATTTGCATTGGATTCACAAGTGCCGTGAAGTTTAGTAAATACTTTATGTCAGGCTTCTTAAATATTATTGAATTTGTCCACTGCTGAATTATGTCTCATTGGGCAGAATAGGTAGATTATGAAAAATATTAAGAATTTTAGCAGATGTTTGTGGGCAGTGTGATTGTTAGCATGTTTGCCTGTAAATGTAGGTTTCAGTGATTGAAGTTGTTTTATAATGAGGTATTTAAATTTGAAACAGAAATGAAGATGATCTGACAATGAAACTGTCTGAGATAGTGTTCATTAATGATGTTATAATGAAACACCGTCAGTCAGGAGCAAAAGTACAGATGATTAATGAAGACTGGGACTTCTTGCAACTACACTGTGCATTATATATGAACAGTGAAACACCAGGAATTCCCCTCAATATGCAGGTATATGTATATTACACAATTTGCAGATTACATTTACATTTTTTCATTGACTTCATTCAGCTAAACACTTGTCTGTGACTTCTTATTTTACAGCCAAAGAAATCCAGTCGTGGGTTGGTGCAAAGGCTAAAGGGAAAGCAGGGCCGATTCAGAGGAAACTTGTCTGGTAAACGAGTTGATTTCTCAAGCCGTACAGTCATTTCACCTGATCCAAATCTGAAAATAGAGGAGGTGTGTTTAATCACAGAAGTTATCCAATTTAACGTGAACTGTATTTTCTTTTGTTGTTGGTGTAGTATATTTCCAGCTATGCTGGTCTATGTCTGTAAGAATGTCCTTCATTGACATTTCTTCTGGGTTGAATAATTTTAGGACTGAGTCTCTTCCTGTCTTTTTTGTCCTCACATTATCACCTCTCTTATTTATCTGTCCACTCTTCATATTCCCTTGTGTATATCTTCTTTACTTAGTCAGTCCAATGCTAGTTTATTTAAAGATATTTCTTTTTTATTTTCTTGACATAATTCTGTTATCATCCATAGTTAGCGTGCCCATATCAGTGTTTTTAATTTTACTGGCTTTTCTTATAGTGTGTTGACTTATAACTTGCCTTATGTCCTGGTTTTGGATGGTGTGTCTTCTTCTTTATTTCTTAGTACTCCATTCAATTTCAGGTTTACTGATTATAATCTTCTTAGATATTTCTTAGATCACAAGTGATACTATGCAGGATCTTTTTTGAGGTTTTATTCAAGTGCATTCAGAATTAAAGTCAGATATATTTTCACTAACCTAACCTAATCATTTGGTTTGTAAAGAGTAAGTACATATTTCTTTTATATCTTTGTTTAGGTTGGTGTTCCAATTTATGTAGCAAAAATACTGACATTCCCAGAGAGAGTCAACAATGCAAATATGAAACTGATGAAAGAATTGATTCTGAATGGTCCAGATAAACATCCAGGAGCTAACTTTGTGGAGCAGAGAGGTCAGGCTTTTAAGAAGGCTCTTAGATTTGTAAACAGAAATAAGGTTGCCCAAGAACTGAAGGTGAGAGATGTGCTTGATAATTGTAATATAATTTTACTTTCTTCGCTAGGATTTGAGTGTAATGAAGAAAGAAAATTGTTGCTGATTCATGTACTGGACATACGTGTTTTGTAGATAAACATAATATGTATATTTACTCTTATGACTATAAAAATAGCACAATATTTATTGTTAATTTCAGCCTGGTGATCTTGTAGAGAGACATCTGCGTGATGGAGACATTGTCCTATTCAACCGGCAACCTAGTTTACACAAACTTAGCATCATGGCACACCGAGCAAAGGTGTTGGAACACAGGACTTTTAGGTAATATTTATAATAATAATACATGGTGTTATTGTTTCTTAGGACTGTATTGCTTGAAGATAACTCTCTTTGAACAGCATGGTTACTTTATGGAATTAATTGTTAAGATAGATAGTAAAGTAATATATTTATTTATTTCCGTCTATACACAAACTTAGTTTGTGTATAGACGGAAATAAATAAATATATTACTGAATTAAACACAAACATGACGCAATTAAACTACAAATAGATAGTAAAGTTTACAATATGTTTGTTGAGCATGTTAGAGAACTTCTTTTCCAAAATCTGTCTTTGTTCTGGTCAGTCCCATCCGGTTGATTTCTGTTGTTCCAAATATGCAGATATTTCTGTGTTTAAAGAAATTAGGTAGAAGTTTACTTCTACCAGACGACATGACACAACATACTTCTTACTCACCACCACGAGAACCTGAAATCTCACAATGTATATAATTGTTTAAATCATGTTCAGCCTCATAGGAACATCATATCCAAAATAATGAAAATATGAAACTTTTTTACAGTTTAATTTTAGATCTGTACAAGAAAAAATACTTTTCCACCTGACCACTGAAAAACATTAATTTAAAATTCAGATGTGTCTTTGCTTTGATTTTTGTAGTAATGCATGACAGAAATATAGAGTACTTGGCTACATTTGTTACTGTTCTCTACTTTCAGATTCAATGAATGTGTTTGTACTCCTTACAATGCAGATTTTGATGGCGATGAGATGAACCTGCATTTGCCACAGACTGAAGAGGCTCGTGCAGAAGCACTTGTGCTCATGGGGGTAAAGCTTTTGTCTGCGTATGATTTACATTAGATTAGCTTAATTTCAAGAATAGAACAATTCTAGTAAGGCATGAACCAGTATAATTCATCAGGATGTTTAATGGAAATATGTGTAGGATATACAGATGTCAGCATTATCACCAACTTTGTTTTTTGTTTTGCAGAATAAGTCTAACCTTGTTACTCCTAGAAATGGTGAACTACTTATTGCTGCAACTCAAGACTTCATTACAGGAGCCTACTTACTCACACAAAAGGATCAATTCCTGAATAGAGGACAGGCTTGTCAGTTGGCTGCATGTCTTTTGGCAGGAGACGATGTTGCTATGCATATAGACCTACCTCCTCCTGTCATACAGAAGGTAAAACTTGAAGATTAGTGATTTATACAGTGTTACTAGAGTAAAATTTAGGGTTTTTAAAATTATATTTTGAATAATGAAGGTATGGTATAGCATACTACATGGCCCAACATCCCATAAGGTGGTCATCTTTATACTTGTGACCATGAGAATGTGAAATCTTGCAGTAGAATCAAGATACCTTGAAATTAAATGGTGTGGTGAAGTGTTATATGCAGACCACGTAGATTTTGTGCTAAATGCAGTTTTAAATTTGTAATTATGACTGTAGCCTTTTCTAACTTTAGTTTCTTTTATGTGGTGCATAATTTTCAGCATAGAAGCTGCAGTAGAAAGTCTGAACTTTAATAAAATCATAAACACTTCTAATGAAAAGCTCACGTTATAAGTGATGCGCACTGGATTATATTGTGTAGTATAGAATGTTTAGACAAACATTGGATTCATGTATGAAATATATATTTTATATATCTCACTCGTATTTAAACCTGTTTTTTTACATTTTATATCTTAAATACCAAAATACAGGAATATTTATGAAGGTACTTACTTACTTAATTTATCCTGGGAAAATGTCTCAGCAGAGAACTTTTTTACTGATTTGTGGATTGAATACTATAAAGAATGATTTTAGTTACTTATTAATTGTCATTAGATGAGCTGACCAGTATGTCTTTTATTTTTGAAACCAACAGCATGGAAACATAACAATAATGCTGTTAGAATCTTTTTATGAACTGTAACAGAACAATTTTTTTCCCCTTTTATTTTATTTTATATTCTATTCTTTCTAGCCAACTGCTCTGTGGACTGGAAAACAGATTTTTAGTTTGATTATACGCCCAAATAAGAAATGCCCTGTGAAAGCAAACTTACGTACCAAGGGTCGTGCTTACACCAATAATGAAGAATTATGCATCAATGACTCATGTAAGCAAAATTGCAATATTTCAAGTTAACAATTATATTTAATATGGAGGAGGAGGTTTGTGTAAAACACAAAGTGTCTGATTTTCTTCTAACTAATATTGTTGAGAATGTTAATATTTTTTGAATGTAGAAAATTCTAATATCTTTTCTCACTTTCAAAAGGGATTATATGAAGAACTGTTAGGTCTATACATTTTTCTTACATATCTTGAAAGGAAGCTTGATGTCTTTACATGTTGGTAGTTTTGCATTGAACTCCAACATAGAAGACTTGTTCACTTTTTCTTCTGCAGATGTTGTTATTTACAACTCTGAATTACTGGCTGGTTCAATGGATAAATCCACACTGGGTTCTGGTTCGAAGAACAACATCTTCTACATCTTACTGTGTGACTGGGGTGAGGATTATGCAGCCAAGGCCATGTGGAGACTTGCCAGGCTGACTTCATACTTCCTGATGAACAGGGGGTTCTCCATTGGTATAGGGGATGTGACTCCAGGGCATGGTCTGCTTAGAGCCAAACATGAGCTTCTACAGGCAGGGTAATTATGTGTAACAAGCTATTTACAGAGTGGCTTGAATATCATTGTTTGTTGTGATCATTTATGTATTTTTATATTGTTTCAACTGCTGAGGTTTATATCACTAGTTGAAATGGGAACTGATCATTAGTGATGTTTAAATGAGGATTTGGAAAGAGGCAGTTGTAATAATTCCAAGTTATTTTACCAGCATTTACCTGTAGAGACTGAGGAAAAGCATGAAAACTTCACTTAGGATGACTGGTAACTCAGTTAAGATTTGTGCCTGGCACCTGCAAAATACAAGTCTGGAGTGTTATTGTTACATTTGGTACCAGTGTGTTGCGATAAAAAGTTGTAAGTGTATCTAAATGGATTGTTTCATTATTCATATGCTTTCAGATGCATAGTTATCAATTATTGTTTCTGCACTTGATTGCAAATTTAGGAATTTCTTTGATATTCTTGTAATGTGTTGGGATGAACCATAATCATTTTAGGTATTCCAAATGTGATGACTATATTCGATCTCTACAAGAAGGACGATTACAATGTCAGCCAGGTTGCACAGAGGAAGAGACACTTGAAGCAGTCATACTGAAGGAATTGTCTGTTATTCGAGACCATGCTGGTAAAGCTTGTCTTAAGGAACTTCATCCAAGCAATAGTCCTCTTGTTATGGCCCTCAGTGGCTCCAAGGGTACGTAGACTGTGCAGGAATAAGCCCCCTGCAATGGTTGTTCTGAACCATCACCACCTCTTTCATGTATTCAAGTTTATTATATGTTATTGCTTATTCTTTACTTTTCTGCCATCCACAATATGGGCTGAAACATATTCAATGCTTGATGATGTGATTATTCAGTTTTATTTGTCCAAATGTCATTTTTGCCCCAATTTCCCACTGGCTGACTTGGCTGTTGGCGTATTCATTTTTCTATATTCTTGTGTTCAGGCTCCTTCATAAACATCTCTCAGATGATTGCCTGTGTTGGTCAGCAAGCTATTAGTGGACACAGAGTTCCTAATGGTTTTGAAGATCGAGCACTTCCGCATTTTGAACGCCATTGTAAGTATATGATGGGTGTGAAATATTGAAGACTCAAATCCTTAATAACTCAGCTTACAGTAGTTGTAGTACATAGCAAGAGGTTTTCCTGTTAGAATGTTATATTATTAACACAATAAGAGAAATTGTATTACAGCTACATCCATTTCACCTGTTTTTAATTTTATGTTCTTACTGTTAATCAAAATATTTGTACCAGTGGGCACTCTTAGCTAATAATCATCCCATTGTGAGCATTCAGATAACAGTGCAATATTTTACTCCTTATACTTCTCCTCCACCTTACTTGTTTTACTTATCTTTCAAATAAACATATAAGTGACCACACTGCTATGATAAGCCTGTACTAGACCAGTACATTGACTGAAGGCTGTTCGTACTCATGTGGTACTGTTGCATCCATATGCAGATCTCACTCTTTCATCCCTAACATTGAAAGTGTTAATGCTAGTGGAGATCATATGTTTGTTATGGAAGCATAGAATGTGACCTACATACAGTTCATGATTGTGTCATCGGCAGGGCTTAACACATGTTTACCCGATGTGAGTTTATCTTACAGGCTGGTGCATAGCAATTCACAGGAAGTAGTAGTAGTTTATGTTAATGGACTTTCTCACTGTGTCTAATTTTTCTTAAGTAATATATTAATATGTGGGCAGTAACAACGATAATTCATAGTAATCAGAGTATTGTGGCAGTAGTGTATGAGCAAAACTAATAAGCAATGTAATTTAATTTGTAATTCTGGTTAGAAATTAATACCATATTACTGAATTTTATTCTTAAAATTGATCAGTCAATGTCATGTCTGTGGTAGTAGATTATTAGACTAATATCAGGAGATTCTTAGGGCGGCCGCACACCAACTTCGTCAAGACAAGCATCAAGACATGAGACAAAAGACGCATTCTTGCTTCATTCGTGATTCAGACTCGAGTCCGCACACCGAAGCAGCACGTGTCTGCGTCGTATCACATCTTCTCTAGTTGATAACATGATGTCGTCTAGTGAGGAAGATATTTTAATGTACATGTGGTTGAAAGTACATAAAGAAAGGAAAAGGAAGTGGATTCAAGACTTTAATGAGTCGTGTGCTCAACATGGTGCATACGTTTTAGCACGCGACTTGTTAAAAGATACGGTGAAATTCCAGTCTTATTGTCGAATGTCCCCAGAATCAATTTGTGTTCTTACTTTTTGAAACCAAATGTAGATCGTATTACCGGGAATTTCTCAACCGTCTGCACTATCTTAATATTTGTTTACTCTTCACTCATGTCAATAACGTACACTGGTGCTGTTACTTGAGTACTGATGTCTCAGTCCTGACGCACAGAAAAGGAACATGCCGAGTCTCAATGCACGTGTCTGCAGCATGAAGCTGACGTCAGCATCATGACTCAGACTGGTGTGCGGCGGTTTTCATAATCTCATTCGTTTCAACTGTGCTCCTTTCTTTGCGTCATGTCGTAGACATCGTGTCTTGACTGTTACATGTCTTGACGCATTCCGGTGTGCGGCCTACCTTACACTGCTGATTGTCCCAATTTATGTATCATGATAAATATTAATCATGTATGCACAGCATTTATTTTTAATTTCCAGCCAAAATACCTGCAGCTAAAGGTTTTGTGGAAAACAGTTTTTATTCCGGACTCACACCTACGGAATTTTTCTTCCACACAATGGGTGGAAGAGAAGGGTTGGTTGACACAGCCGTGAAGACAGCAGAAACTGGCTACATGCAGCGTAGACTAGTAAAGGTCAGTTTGAGGTAGTTGGTAAAACTGTCTGGTATTAGAATCTAGAAGTTTAATATATCTAATTGAAAAGCCAGTATTTGGGTTGAGAAGATATATGAGATAATATCTGTTTTAAACCAAAGCAGTTTGAGTTACTGCCATTATAGATATTGATGTCATTCTGTGGCAATGTATCTTGATACCAAATGTTTCTTTGTGTTGCAGTCTCTAGAAGATTTATGTCTGCATTATGATATGACAGTTCGTAACTCTGTTGGAGACATTGTTCAAACCTGTTATGGTGCTGATGGATTGGATCCCACTTATATGGAAGGTGAGGTCTGAAATATAACAATGTATCTTACATCATTAGGTTGACTGTCCATCTACATTACATTTTTTGATAATAGTCACAATGTTTATTAAGATCCACTAAGAGTTTAAGCAGCTGAAGTTGAACTGCATTTTAACTATATCTTTCCACTGGTAACTACATCTGCAGTGTGCACTGTAATTAAATAGGTAAGCTGGGATATTGCACCATGTAGTCTTGTCTCCCTACTCGTTCCGCTGATGGAGTCAGTAATCCCCTCTGAAACATTGGGCAACTTGTACGAGACTGTGTGGTGCAATATCAGAAGGCTGTCATCTTCAAGTGTAGTATTTGTTAGTGATACTGGTTTTAAACACACTCACAGGTAAGGACTGCCCTGTTGATTTTCAACGAGTGCTAGATCACGTGCGTGCGAAGTGCCCTTCACGTGATGAAGAACCACTTGATGGACCAAGCATCAAGAAGGCAACTGAAGAGATCCTGAAGACTGAAGACTTTGATGGTTGTAGCGATGAGTTTAAAAATGAATTAAGGTAATTACATAAAAGGGAAATTGAAAATTATGAATATGGTAAACTGGGAGAATTAATCTTTCTGGTTAAATTGGTGTTAAACCATTAGAGTCTGTTTTGATATAAACTATTAGCCCATTTTCCTTATCTTGTAATGAAAGGCATGCTTATGGTATTATCATGACCATATATCTGTTGTCCCTAATAACTTTTGAATAGATGACATTTTATGACACATATGGCATGATGGTCGTGTATTGTTTCCTTAATATCAGTTGTACCAACATGACTCCTTTATAAAGCTTTTGATTTTGGTGTGGTCCTAAAGTATGTGGTAATAATGCTTACAGAAGTCTTCAATTTTTTCAAGAATTTTTGTAGAATGTGTAACAGCATGGTGGTTGTGTGAAATCTGTATTTATGTTTGATAGCAATAGCTAATGTATCATTGCAGGTAGATATATGAAATGTGATAGGTAATAAGTACATTATTAACATTCCTACAAATTTATTGATTTTTGTTATATGTTAAGAATTACAAAGATAGGGATTGCTTGAAACTTTGAGTTTATGTCTCACTAATGGGAATCTGTACTAGTGGGAGTTATATGCTGACGGGGGTTACTGAATTGTATAAGTATCAATTTATAATTGCTGCTACACTTACCGTACAGATATAAGAATTTAAAGGAAAGAAGGGATCATAAATCCTTCCCAGAACTTTTTAAACTTACTGGGAAACTTTACTAAGCAGTGTATTGGCCCTATCAGAGATTTGTGTCAGTAATTTACATTTTTTAAGATAATGTGCTGTTCTTGTATTGCTGTCATACTGAATAATACCACTTTTGACTTGTAGTTAATGTACTTAATACTAAAAATAGGTGGGTTCTGTCCTCTTCCAGAGAAATGTTTTTTACTTATACAAAAATAATATACTTCTTGAAGACAGTTTTCTAGTTTTGTAACTTCCAAGCACTGATATAGGCTTGTAATTGTTCTTATACAAGGAGGAGAAGTTACAAAACATGATAGGCATTGTAATAAATAAGTATGCTAGTTTGGTAAAATGTCAAATTGAGTGTAACCAAGTCATATAAATCACAATGTACTTGCAGGTTATTCATGGAGGGGTTTGCTCGACGTGTTGCCCGACTGCGCCATCACTTTGGTGTTGGTGATACATCATTCTTTCCATCTGTTGTCTTGCAGTTGGAAAGACTTACAGTTAGTCAGCTTGTTGATTTTTTCCATACATGTCGTGATAAATATATGCGGTCTAAGATAGAACCAGGTAATTAGAATACATAATGCTAAAATGTTATCTTTGGTTGGTTTTAGTATACACATAGTTCATGAAATTTGTCTTTTTCTAAACATAAAAATTTTCACTGTGATTCAATGGTTTTTATGAAGTTTAATTTTGTTGCTTATATTCATTATTAAAGTAAAGCAGTCCCACTACATGCCATATAGTTTTTCTTGAGGGGAGAGGAGATATAGCTCCTACCCATTCTTGACCTTGGCACTAGATGGGAGTGAGTGGTCAGCATCACACCCCAACCACGCTTTACTTCCGGGAAAGGACCCTGGTACCCATTGGATAGGAGGCTGGATAGGCCTCAGAGCCAGTCTGGATGCAGAGGCTAGAGGAATAATCTTCTGCCCCTGTTGGGGATCGAACCCCAGTTGTGCAGAAAATTGTTTAATTTAGTGGAGTAATGCCTGCAAGAAATTTATGATTTTCTTCCTTTGGTAGGAACTGCAGTAGGTGCTCTTGCTGCACAAAGTATTGGAGAGCCTGGCACACAGATGACCCTTAAAACTTTTCATTTCGCAGGAGTTGCATCCATGAACATTACTCAAGGAGTTCCAAGGTAAAAGTACAGCTTGTTGAAGGTCTCCAAATCATTATAAATTAATTCACTTTAGACATGAAATTTAGTAGTAAAATAACTAAAAAACTGTATTTAAAATTATAGAATACTTTATATATATTTTCTCCTTAAAGCTTTCTTTGTACTATTGTCCTGATTTTTTCTGCATGATATTCTTTGTACTCTGTATATACTAAGGTAAAAATAATTATATCTCTTTGTAATTGATAAACAGTTATCTCAGTATGTTACATACATACATACTGGAACAAAGAGAAAGGAACTTTTTAAAGAGGTTATGGTTGCCTGAACTTTAAAATTTAGACTTTCATACCTTTTGGGACTTCCTGATATATAATTTAATCTTCATTCTGGCATGCATTATTTATGTGGTTGTTTCTTATAATATGATGGTTGTTCACATGAAACCACTTTATGGCACTGCTAGCAAATGGAGCCAGTTGAATGGATTTCATTTGCACAAATCTCTTAATTAATTGAATTTTGTTTAACATTTTCTTTCAGGATTAGAGAAATAATTAATGCCAGTAAAACAATTAGCACTCCAATTATCACTGCTCATCTTGAGGATGATACAGATGCTGAGTTTGCTAGAAGGGTCAAAGGTCGTATAGAGAAGACAACACTTGGAGAAGTAAGAAACATTATGAGAGCACTTTACCATGACACCATTGACTTAATAGAGTGTGTTATTGATAATGTTTGAATCTGGGAACACCTAATGGGCATATTCCATTACTCCCAGAGAATGATTAAAATGGAAATAGAAGGTGTTGGAGTAGGTTTTAGATGCACTGAGAATGGTTTTGAACCCCACAGGTGTCAGAATACATTGAGGAACTGTATCTTCCGGATGACTGTTTTCTCCTCATTAAATTGGATATTGACCGCATACGTTTATTAAAGTTGGAAGTTGATGCAGATTCTATTCGTTACAGGTAAAGTAGTTTGATATGACATTGCAGTTCAGTGTTTGTTGTCAACAAAAGTTAGATTAAAGAGCAGTGTCATTCAGCACCAATATATTTTTCTTTAACAACCTGGAACAGTTTATAATAACTTACAAATCACAGACTTTTATATACAATACATATGAGTAAATACTTTAATAATAAAAGTTCTCAGAGGAAGGTCTTAAACCTTAATTTATGTTCAAGTGGAAATTATGTGTCTAGCTTCAAGCAAGGAAACTAAAAAATCTTTCAGACTAACCCTAGACAACTCATAACCAAGTCACCCACTAAAAATCTGACAGGTTCTTTGTCCTAAAGTATGTGCTTTATATATGTGGTTGGCTTTTCATTTCCCCCATTCATAGAACACATTTAGTTCCTTTGTGGTGGAAAATATATTTTTGTTTTCACCTTTTTTTCCATATTTATTTTACAGCATATGTACGTCACGCCTGAAGTTGAAGCTGCCACTAGTCACAGTTGTCAGTGCCTCAATGATAACTGTGAAACCAGGGAAATCAAAGTCTACTCTTAACTATCAACTACAGAACCTCAAAGAGACAGTGCCTAAGGTCGTTATCAAAGTACGTATTTTACATAAGATATGTACGTTTCTTCACTATAGTCATGCTTCATCATTTGCACCATATTCCTTTATGTAGGATGTGAATTTTAAACATTATGGTTTACATTCCTTTCTTCATGTATTACTATTGCCTTCAGCTGAAACTGTTGACATTTACCGTATATCCAGAGGCACAGGAAGAGAGCAGAATGTGAAAGCTACAAAGCTGTGAGGTTGTAAGCTTGGTAGCTTGTACTTTCTGGTAATATATTGTAATAGTAAGACTGTTCCACATATTATGTTATTCATTGTGAAGAGAATCTTGTTATGGTATCCATTAAGAATTCATGGTACTGTCTTAAGTCCAAGACTTCATGAGTTCCAGTGTGTTTTATATCTGATGCTTAGGTTGTAAATGTGCCATTTTTAAAAACAGTAACAACTAAAATAAAGCAACCATTTCAAACAATCTACATTAAAGAAAATGTTACAGGTTGCGGAAACTATGATAGAAAGTGTTACTGTAGCGGCAGTGAAATTTGACCAGTTCTAATTGGTTTAGAACATATAACATTGAACATTTTATTGCAAAACCATCACCCATATTCAAATGTGTTTGTATATTTGATACAAGAAAATTTATAAGTGGTATGTTAAAGTAGTATTGTATTTGGATGTAATATTTCATGTTTCTTACTAAACAGGTTGGTATTAACATGTGAATTGTATGTTGGAGGAAGGCAATTTGATTATTGGCTGGCTATCAACTATATTGTCCACTGTTTTCATGTTTTTCTTAGTCTTGCCAAGTTAATGCTAGAATAATACCTTGAAATAGAATGTTATTGCTTCTCCATCCTGATAATTGCACCAACAGTCACACTTTTATGTGTATAGGGACTGCCATCTGTAAACCGTGCTGTGATACATAATGATGACTCTGGTGGCCAGACTCGGTATAAGTTGTTTGTGGAGGGAGATAACCTTCGAGAAGTCATGGCAACGCCTGGAGTCAAAGGAACTCATACAACTTCCAACAATACCTATGAAGTTTTTACAACCTTAGGCATTGAAGCAGCCAGGTAAAATGCTTAAAATGAAGAAATCCTATGAGTATATTAGGAAGTTCCATAAAAATTTTAGCTGTTTGTAGTAAGGAACAAATGTGTTTCCTATCTTTTGGAAGTATTAGTCTGAATGAAAAGTAAGTTGAAAATAAAATGGTCATCTGGAGGCATAAATAATTATAGGCAAAGAATATTATCAGTAAGTTTGATATTTTATACCATATTTCTTGAAGTTAACTGTCTAGTGACTCATAATATGTTCAGTAATGTTGAGCATTCTTTTTTAAATACATTGTACAATTATATGTTTGATTATTTGTTTTATGGCAATCCATCAATTTCCATATAACAATGCCTCTTATGATTTACAGAGTTTTAATAAATTTGGTGGTATAATTAGTTCGGAAGTTATATAAATTCTGAAGGGAAAATTGATGGAGAGGTCAACAGAAACATACAAAACAGTTTTAAATTTCACCAAATTATAATAGGAATAATATGGGACAGAGAGATCCTGAAATAGTAAAGAAGAACAATGTATAAACCATATTTTTATCAGTATCGGCATTGAACAGTGCTGAAACATGGACCCTTACAAAGAGAAACAAAATTGAAATTCAGTCATTCAATATGAAATTTTTGAGTTTAGTTTAGTCCTGTGGTTAGTCCTTTTCAACCCATTCACATAACCATAGTTCTAAATAAAGGTATTTCAAGTGGTAGTTTATGCAGTAAACATATACAAATATCTGTGATAACGTTAGTTATGTAGTTCTTTTATTATTTCAGAGCAACTATCATGACAGAAATTAAACTTGTTATGGAGAACCATGGAATGAGTATTGATAGACGTCATCCAATGTTAGTGGCAGATCTGATGACAAGCCGAGGTGAAGTCTTGGGTATTACTCGTCATGGTCTTTCAAAGATGAAGGAGTCAGTCCTCAATTTGGCTTCGGTAATGTTCTATTTATACATCAATCTCATGTGAGCTTAAATGGCACGATGTAACTACTTTAGTTAATTAACCCTTCTCTGCATCTGAATTAGTAAAATTAAACATATCCTTGCAGATCATGGTTTAAAATCTAGTGGTAGTTAAGCAGGAAAGGTTTAAATTTTATTAGTATTTTTCCTTCACTAACTTCAGAAGGCATTTTTAATTTGTTTACAAGCAGAAAAGTGATATCAGTCAGTGTTTTTAATCGTGTAAGTGATTTTTTATTATTTCAGATTAGGTTATTGATTTTCATTTTGCTCTTTCAGTTTGAAAAAACTGCTGATCATCTATTTGATGCAGCATACCATGGCCAGAAAGATGCTATTACAGGAGTGAGTGAATCCATAATTATGGGAATTCCCATGGCCATTGGCACTGGCATCTTCAAATTGCTCCACAAATATCCTTTATATGCAAGTAAACTTGCTGTGTTCGTTTATTAACATTATGATAAACCACATTGATGACTAACATGACATGTTATTTTCTTTTACATAATGCCACCATTCAGACTATGAATTTGACACTACAGATATCAGCTGTTGGAGCAGCATCATTGATTAACCTTAACTAAGCTGATAATTGATCAGTAATATATGCACTTCTATTTCATGAGTAATTGTTTTAATTTATATTTTTTGTCTAACTTGTTTACCCTTATTTTTTTGTTTAAAAAGTGATTGCACAACAACTGTTCTATAGGATACATCTTATTTCAGGGACTTCAACCACTAGAACTAATGAAAGTATTACTCACGTTCTTTAAATCTTAACCTGAATCTTACATCTCAGTCCAACTCTTCAGAAAACTTCGGTTCAGAACTCATGCTGAACTGTAGATTAATTCCATTTTTTATCATTCTCTTCCCTCATACCGCATGCCACAATTTTCTTATTAGTAAACGTATCAACCCATTATGTTCTTCCATTTTATTTAAAACTGTTTAAATCTAACTAATTTCATCATTCAAGACCCTTCTTCATGTGTTGATAGTTGCTCACCTAGTTAAGAAATTCCCTTACAGCTATGGAACCAGAAATTTCATTACCGTAGCCACTTATCCCTATTCTGAGCCAGATTAATTCAAGATCCAGTTGAAGGCAAGTATTATTGTGGACTGCAGATTATTGTGTTTTGTTGTTCTATACATGGATTTTTGGGCCAAACCTGCATGAATTCTGATACTGTACACATTTATCTTACATAATTTTTTATATTGTTATGTAATATTTAGCATATGCGTTTATAATTGTTTTCTTCTAAGTTTTAAATTATTGTTAGACTTGTAGTCAGTTACATTTGTCTTTGGTTGTAACAGAGTTGACCAAATATATATATTTTATTCCTTAACAGTCTTTACAGCTGAAAATGATCCAAAGCCACCTGAAAGAAAGTTGATCTTCGATAATCCTGCATATCACAAACCTGTTTCACGGTAAATGAAATATAGTTTGTTAGATCCAGGTGTTCATTTCTTTATGATATGAAAAATGTAATCATACTTATTGAAATAAATTATCTGTAGCTTTATACCCAAATTTATACATAATTTGTAATTTGGTTACAGAAACTGTATCAGGAGATTCTGTTTGTCTTTGCATGAGTCACTGCAGCTAAGTGAGCTGTTTAAACAAAATGCCATAATTGTCAACTGAACCTCTCTGTATATTGAGAACATTAAATGGGACTTTCAAAGGAAAGACCACAGACTACTATTTGTCCTGTTATGATAAAGTGTCAGACACTTGACAAAATGCACATTAGTAAGGATTCATGCTGAAGCAACGAGCAACAGACAATAATTGATTTGTGATAGATGTCACTTACAGAAATAATGTTCACTTCGGTGCAAACAGTTTGTACCCCAACAACAATGATGTTGCTTTTGAAATGATCACTCAGTTACATACAGTATGTGTCAAAAGAAAAGTTTTTGCTGTATTGCTGAGTGATTTGTATTGCATGATATTGTGGCGGGGGTTATTTGTAGTAACTTTCTGCATTGTCCGTGGAACATCTTGTATGCTATAAATAATAATTATGTGTACTGAAGAACAGCAAAATATTAAGTCTGTGCAAATTATAGAACATAGAATTTTCACTTATCACTTCATTTACTGACTTCCAGAATCTAGCACTTTGAATGCTTTGTTTTGAATATACAGGCATTATGATGTTTCATATTGTCTATTTCTTATCACTTGCTGCTTCAGTGTGAATCCTCCCTTTTGCTAATGCAGATGAATGCATAACTGTGAACAGCAACAGTGAAACATTAACAATTTTGATGACACTGGAAATGATCTATTTTACTTTTAAACTGTTGAATAAAATATCTATGATCAAAATATGTTTATCATTGACATTTTAAAACCCCAACTGATTCCAGTCCTTATGAATATCTGACTACTTTATGGTTCAATACAATTCAATAAGGGAATTATGAATGCTTGTTATAATTTTGTCATTTTTTAAATAACTCTTATATTGCTGGGATACCTTCAACTTAATGATAAAAGTTACATGAAAATTATTATACACATACACATTTTTACTCTAAAGATGGTTCAAGTGTCTTTGTGATATCGGGAACTTCCAGTATTTGGGTTTCAAAATTATTCATAGTTTAGTAGTTTTGTTTTGGGGGCGGGGTGAAGTGGAATTTTGAAGGTTAAAGAGTAGTTACTCATTTTACCGACTGGGCTATTGTCACTTTGCCTGTTGTGTTTACTTGTGAATCGCTGACAGTGGGCTGTACAAAAAGCTCTGCTCTTCGTTGTACATCAATAACAGGAGTTGATTGTCTGTGTCCAGCGTTGTGCTACCGATCTGTTTGTTGGTTATGTGTGCACGTTGGTGTTTGTTTGGGGTTAGGGTGGTGCTCTGGTTGCGATGAAGTTTTCGATTGTCACGAGGTGTTAATGTTTTTATTTAAGTGACCATATTGTGAAATAGATTACATTACATGAACTTCAGTCTTTATATTTATGTGTTATAATTATTTTATGCAGCAACATATTTTACCGATATGTGTTTTGGACCCTTGAAAAAACTTTGTCACTGGGGTCCACTTACAGCTTTGGGTAAGTTCGGTATCAGGTTTTGGCAAAGATATTAAATTATTTTTACTGCGACATGGATTTTCCCTTTAGTGATTTATGCCGTAGGGGACCAGAGGAAATTTGCAACAGCAGGCAGTAAGAAAAGCCTCAAGTACTGTCATATCCACCACCCACACTGTCACTATAGCCTGTTACCTTCCGTCCATCCCTTTACTGGACTCAAATGGGGCACATATATGAGATGCAATTTGGTAACAGGACTGAGTTTTACAAATTATCTGCATACATTTTCATTTGTGACCTCCAAGAATGATGGCAGAGCATTAACATCACACTTCTATTGTAATGAACACTGCCCATTGAAATGTGGGAGTTGCCTTTATTCCTACTTGGACATTGTTGTCTGAGACATAGGATAGGCCTATTTAATATAATTATGGCTTAATGAAGCAGGCCTTTTTGAAGAATTTAGAGAATGAAGGAATATTGAGATATTGTTCTGAATAGCAGTGTTTATGTACCATGTATCTGATCTTTTTTATTCATGTGTAGTTTGTGATAAGTGTTTAGTTCACTCCAAGGTGAAACAGTTGGTGTGGTGGATGCATATTTGTAGAATTACAATGACAAAACTTGTTTACAGCTATAATCAAGAGCATATCACTTATGACAGTCCACTGCAGCAACATGT